TCAGTGGCAGCGTCACCCTGCCCAAAGTTACCTATCTCAGGAGCTCCTGGCCCTGGGGAATCATTCCCCTGAGACAGCACTGAGCTCATTTCTGCTCTGTCCTGTGCATCCTGCCAGGATGCTCCCACAGCACTTGGGTCCACAGCCAGGGCTTCCTGGCACCGAGCAGGGCATGGGGCAGCGTTGAGCCGTCCCTGCTGGCAGGATACAGCCGCCAATGAGACAGTTTGATTTGGAGTATCTGTGTGAGAGCAGAAATATGGGATCCCCCACTGAGCTCCTGAGGATCCGCGTTTCTGGCTATAAACCCCCTTCCAAGGAGGGGTCTTTAGAGAGAAGGGCTGAGATGATCCACAAGCCGCGGCTGTCGCCCGCCCCCTCCCCAAGAGGAATTGCTCTCACACAAATGAAATGTGTGTAATTAATGGGCAGGGGGCTGGACAGGTCCGAGATGAAAGCGTTTCCTGGACTTGTCCTTCATTTGCATGGTATCAGAAGCTGTTCAGAAGGTGTGACTTTTCCCACAGGGAGCCCTGAGCCCGGTGGCACAATAAAGCCAGGACTTCTTACCCAGAATTAATTAAAGGAGGGGGATGGGGATGGCAGGGAGATGTTTGAAAGCTGAGCCTGATGCAATAAACAAACACCCCAGTCCTCCTTCTCAAGGCAGGGCATGCCCAAGGGAGCCCGAGTGAGCCCCATCCCTCCATCCCTATCACAGCATCGCACAGCCCACCCCTCTCAGTGGGCACCCTTCCCTGAACAGACCTCACAGCAAAGTTCTGATGGGTCAGCCCTGCAATGAAGACCAGCAGTGTTCGTACGGTGAGAGAGGGGATGGGAGTGGACACAGCATGTGCCGAAAGCTTTGGGGCTTGGTGGACCAAGCCCAGGTGCAGTCCCTGCTCAGACAGCATGGACCCCTTTCCTTGCCTCTTTGATTTATTCTGCCGTAGCCACATTTAACCTAAAAACGGGTCTTCTCCCTGCCTGGTGTTGCCCTGGCGTGTTCACCCCACATTTACTTCTTACCCCACGTTGGCTGGCTGGACCAACTGGGTATCCTGGTCTTGTCTCCCCAGGCAGACTCTCTCAAACATCACTGAGCTCCAGCCTTGTCACTGTGTCCAGACAGCATCGTGCAGCAAAGTCCTGTACAGGCAGGGACACGCACGTACCACTACTTGGAGTGCAGGATGGGGTAGTCATCCCTGTGCCAACAGCTAGGGCAGTACGGCTCCTCTCCTGCTTCATCTGCCACCTCCCTCTGGCCAGCCGGTCACAGTGAGGGGACCGCAGGGTGACACTGGGAGTGGTAGTGCTAGGGACAGGCACATCTCCGTCACAGGGACTTTGCTAGCTCAGATCAGGGGGTTTTGCCCAAAACCACCCATGCTAACAGCATGAATTGATGGAAGCGAACACCCACCGCCAAAGCCTCCTGTCCCCAGCACTCCTCTGGGTCCAGCCCTGGCTCACTGTCCTGCAGTCCCCAGGGCCTCTGTGTGGCTGTGATTTTCAAGCTTGGCCCACACATCTGCTGATGAAAGAGGAGGGAAAAGTCCCAGATTCATGAGCTGATGATTGACCCTGTGCATTCAACCAGCAGTCAAGGTTTCTGCATCCCTTGGAGAAACAGTAGGTACCAACAAGGACTGTCCCCATCTCCCTGCACGGGTGGTGGGAGCTACCAGCCCTGGAAGACCACACGCTCAGGACCCTGGTCACTGGGAAGAGCATGAGCTGCTCCAGCCATTCCAGGGACTAAGTGGTATCAGTACAGAGACAGGGTATGAGGAGCCATTAATTAATTCATTTACTCATTAACTAACTAGTAGTGGGGTCTTTAATCTTCCAAGCAAAGGCAAAACAACATTTGCTGGCTGGAAGCTGAAGCTGGACAGATTCAAGCAATAAACAAAGCCCCAAGCTGTAGTGTTCCTAGGCAGAACGGCCACCCAAAAGCCCTTTAATAAAAAGCGGGGTAATTAACCATGGACCAGTCAAGCCGGGGGAGCAGGGGGTCCCTTCCCAGGAGCCAGACCTGGGTGCCTTTCGCAAAGGCAGGCTGCGGGAGAGCAGATGGCAGGAGCTGGGGATGGTGTGTGGTACAGAGCTGTGCAAGGACACAAGGGTGTCCTTCCCCAGCTCAAACCCCAGGGTGCAGGGTGTCCCCTGCTCCAGCCCTCATCTGCACTCCAGGATGGCAAGAACGGGGGAAGAGCCTTACTGGAGGCTGAGCACCCACTCCTCACCCTTCCCCGCCATCACTGTCCCTGGGGGACAGATAACAAGGGAGGAGAGCTCTGCTGACCTGCACGGAGCCGGTCCTGCTCCTCTGCTACCCTTACCTGGAGCAGCAACCCAGCGCGATTCACCCAGGTTCACAAAGCCATTAGGAAAAGCAATTAGACAAATTAATGAAAGAAAAGCAGCCATTAAGGACTATCAAACACCATCTATGCCTGGGGAAAGGCCAGGAGCCATTCACTTTTAGTTCTTGTAGTCCGGAAACCCGCAACATGGGCTTTCCCCAGTGCTGTAGGCTCCAGGTTTCTGCAGCCCTTGGGTCCCTCCTGGGGCAGCCAGGCAAATGCCATCTGCCTTTACCAGCACTGTCCTACGGCCCCAGCATCACACACAACCTCTGTGACACAGCAGCGATCCTCAGACAGAGCATGGCCGAGCGCTCGGTCCTCAGGCTTCCCTCCTTGAAATTAATGGTCTATACAGAGAGCTCAGCCCAGTGTGTGGCATCAGCCAGGGGATGGCTCCTCCTTGCACCCTGCCGACAAGCAACACTGCGATGCTGCAGGCACCCCCTGAGGATGGCAGCACCAGCGGGGTTGGCACTGCCAACAGCAAGACTCTCGCCTTGCAAGACCACTCTGTTTCTGAAATTATTATTTTTAAAGAAATAAGAGAAACATTTAACAATTTTATTCTTGCATCCTTCTGTATCTGAGACCGCACCATATCAGAGTCCTCCATCAGCTCCTCTGAACAAGACCCAGCACCTTGGCAGAGCTGAGTATCCACCAAAGGAGGGGACCCAATAGCTTGTTTTGAACAGACACAAAGTTCATCTAGACCAGACACGGGCTTTCTCTCTTGGAAAGCCTCATCCCATGCTTAAAACCAGTGGTCAAGTCTCTGCTGCACTATGCCCCCATCCAGCCTGCAGTGTGCGCCTGTCCCCACAGGGCAAGAAGGTGGCATCTGCCCATTAAACATGGAATTTTCTGGAATGAAAACCAGAATTTCCACAAGACCCATTGGGGACCGATATCTCAGGGCATCCTTCCGCATCCCACATCTTCTCCCCTAGAAAAGGGTAGCCTCAAGCAGCAGCCTCAGCCCCATCCTGCCCCTCGCCATCCTCCTCTGCCCCTCTCCAACCTGCCTCTCCAGCCCCAGCCCCTCCCTGGAAAGCATCAGGCTCAGTTAGACTAATACAAATTTTTAATGCACATATTAAATAAATATTTCAATCATTTCATATTTAATTTTTACACAACCAAAACAAAACGAACAAAAAAAAAATCCTCAAGGAAACAAAAAACAAACAATCAAAAAAAGGTTGGATGAAAAGTCACCCCTGGTTCTGGCTCCTATCCAGTGTCTTTGTTTGCCCTCCCCGTGAAGAATAATTGCTTTAACCCTTTGGAGAGAGTCGCAGTCCCAGGGCAGCATGTGCAGAGCAGGGCTGGCTGGGGATGTTCACTCAAGTGATTTAACGTTTCCTTCGGTTTTGGTTGGGTTTTTTTTTTTTTCCCTAAATAGAAAATTTGGCTTCTGTCAACACAGAAGTTCTGAAAGAAAACCTCTCCTTTCCTAGGAGGACAAGGACAGTGGTATATCACAAAGAGCAAACCTGGAAGTTGACAATGGGAGTGCCAACCACAAACTGACTATTACGACAAAACTAGCCTGAAACGGCTCCACAGTAATTTGTAAACTTTTTTTAATTTTACGGATGAAAAATTCCATCTGATAAAAAAATATAAACAGAAAAGATATCAATTTTTGGCAAGAAGTTCACATTTTCCACATTAAAAAAAAAAAAACACAAAGAAAAACAAAACAAAAAACCAAACCTAGTTACCAGCCTGCTCCACGGCAGCTGTCACCCACTGCCTCACCTTAGTAGGTTAAAACAAACCAAATGCCAAAGATGCTCTCATGGGTAAGAGGTACCAAGTCAGTTCAGGACTTTCTCTGGGGTGTCCATCACCCCTGTCCTCTCCTGAGAAAAAAAAAAAAAATAAACTGGGAGTCACGAAGCCAGTGGCGTTTCTGGAAGGATGCAAGCGGCTTCCAACAACCCCTCGCTCAGGCGAAGAAGTAGGCGCATCCAAGGAAGGAAAGCATCCAGCGGTCCTCACCCCGGGCATTGCAGCTAACCCCCACATGCAGTGCCCACACATCACCCAGGCTGCAAAACCCACCCAGGAGACCTCAAGGCCACCTCTGAAATAAATCTCCTTCCCTTAATTGTTTTCCAACCTTTCCATCTTCTCCATTAAGCGTTAATTCAGTTCATTTAAGTAGCACATTGCTCCCAGATTTGGATTTCCATTTTTTTTTGCTTGTTTGTTTTAAATGGTGATTTTTTTTTCTCCTTTACCCCTAGAGCTACAAAAGAAAATTAAAAAATAAAACGTGACCCCAAACAGACTAGAACATTTCTAAGCGAAGGGCTCTTCCCCCTTCACCAGTCTCTGAACGTTTCATTTCTTTTAAAGTTGGAGTACAAAAAGAGAGCCTCTCTTTTTTTTTTTCTTTTTTTTTTTTTTTTTGTAAAAACCAAACAACACCTCCCCACCCCGCCCCCCAAATTATCAACAACTAGAGCAGGTAAATTTATTTTTTTTTATCCTCCCCCCTCCCTCCCTTTTTTTTGTTTAATACCCATATGGGAAAGTCTCTACATATAGTCCACCAAGCTCAAAAGAGAGTCCTCCAGGAGAGGTGCAGGCAGGGTGGCAGAGGCGAGCAAGTCAAGGGCCCACCCTGGAGTTGGAGTTTCTAGTCCTTTTACTTCTCCGGTTGAAGGGGTAGTTGAGGAACTCAAAGCGTCTGTGGGGCTCGGTGGTCTGGTGGCCTTTGGGAAGCCTCTTCATGAAATGTACCTCCCGTTGGTGCTGGCGGGTCTTGGAGCCCTTGCGTGGGCGGCCCTTGCGGGTGAAGGCCATGTACCAGCCCTCATACTTGGCGTTCTGCAGCGCCGTGTAGTTGTTCTCCAGGACGATCTCCGTGAAGACGCAGTCCTTGCCTTTGCCGTTGCTCTGAGGAGGGGACAGAGGGGGCATTTAAGCAACGGTCAAAGGGCTTCTTCTCACTACCCCAAGCTGGACTGGTTGGTGTGGCAACAGGGCTGCAGTGCTCGTGGGCACTCAAGGACTCACTTTTCCCACCTACAGCTCAGAATTGCCCAAAATCTGTTTCTCCTTAGAAAGCTGTGGGGAGCAGGCACTGTGGCAGAGGCAGACGCTGCTCATTGTGGCTCACATCCTCCACGTGACGCCAGCACCGGGCTGCAAGCCCCAGGGTAGCTTGTCCCGGTCTTCATTTCTGCTGTACCCATAAGGGGATTTTTGCCTGCTGCCATCCTGCCCCCATCTGGACCAGGGGCTGGATTCCCCCACCAGCATGACCACAGGCAAAGTCTCCATCTCAGTGCCAATTCACCCACCCATCCTATTCCCCCCAGGATATTTAATATAGGAGGGGGACCAAGGGGCAGGAGAGGTGATGTGGGGTCCGTGGGGACGGTGGTGGCAGGGAGCATGGGGGCAGCTGCAGGATGAGTTCCCCCCCATTATGGGTGGCAGTGGCACCAGGAAGCATCCCTACATTGGCCAGCCCCAGGGAAGGAGCCGCCATGGAAAATCCTCCCAGACAATCGCTGTCCCAGCAGGATTTTGCACATCCAGCCCCCTCTGCCCCCGGGGAGGGAGCATCGAGGCTCAGAGGGAGCGTGACTAACCAGCCTGCGGTGGGGCCTGGCCTTGGGGCCAGCCCCACGGAGCATCTTAACATTCCTGGCACTTGTACCATGTAATCGGGGAGAATAGCCCGGCAATCCGCCTATTTGTTCGGGGAGATACAAGGAATGCGCCCCACACGCCACCTGCCCGCCTCCTTCGCTCCCCCGCTTCCCTCCCGCCACCCAGGCTGCAGGATGGCTCATCCCCGTGCCCGCATCCAAAGGGGTGCGCTGGCTGAGCCCATCCCTGGGACCCCCATCCCCATGGGTGGGCTCCATGTTGGGTAAGAGCCCCTCTCGCAGCAAGTCCTGCTCAGCACCCACAGCGTATCCCTGCCTCTCCCGTGCCGTGGAGCGCAGCGCCCTACCTTGCCGATCAGTTTCCCCTTCTTGTTCATGCAGATGTAGAAACCTGTGGCCGCTCCCTTGATGCGCACGCGGCTCCCGAAGGTGTCCGTCTCCACGATGAGCTTGGCTGGGGAGAGAAGCGGGAGGAAAGAGAGAGAGGGAGGTCAGAGGGGCTCCGGGATGGGGCAGGTACAGGGTTGGAGACCCCAGCGATGCATGATGCTGGATGATGTGGGCACACACTGGGCAGGGAGGCGACCGGGCCAGAGAGCGCCCTAAAAATCAAGGCACAAGGTTAAAAGCCAGCCTTGGCCCCTCTACCCTGCCACCGTGTCCCTGCATGACCTTGGTCACGTCCCTTTGCCACCCTGAGCCATGCTGGAGG